CCCCCCCCCCGACGCTCAGCTTATATACATCATGTACTGCACACCAGCATTTCCCCCCCACACATACAGGACTGATGTGAGATGTGAACTAGGTACCTCATGCAGAAAACAAATGACTTAACAGACAATTTACAAAAGCCGTGGTTCCCGATTCCGCTTTTCCTGTACCTGCTTGCATTTCACCATGTACTTTTATATATATTTGCCAGCACTATGCCAACATGCTATCTAGTTGACCAGCCCTGTTAAAGAAAAACCCAGCGGGCAGTGACTCAGTCTGCCCAAACAGGAATCAGAAATATATATATATAAAAAAAAAACACACACAAATCATGCAATAACCAAGACAGGAAGCTGTGTCATCATACTGCTATTTAATCATTCCAGTTTTCATTAGGATACATCTGCTAGAATTCAGAAAAGAATTATACACACAAGTTTTGGGAAATACTTCCTGTATATCCAAATAGGTCTGTGGTAAAATGGCCATTTAATGTTTCTGGTACAATAAATAATGCTTGACTATCCATATTGTTTCCAGTGAAACTGCATTATCCAAGAACATTTTATGTGGGCATTTTCAAAGGGCCTACTAAAAGTCAGAAGTTTAAAACTGAAGCAGAAAAAACTATTACAGATATACATTCATCAAAATCATAATCCAGCATGTAAATAAAAAATTGGGTGAGCCGTCTGCAGTGTGTGTGTGTGTGAACCTTAAATCGTGTGTGTGTGCGTTGCGAAAACAGGCATTTTTCAGGCTGGCTACAGGGGCTTCTCTGAGAAGGCGGTATAGCTTTTCACTCTGGCGAAGAACAAGGGCGTGTACATCTTGTCTATTTCGAAAGCTGTAACCACCGTCTCCCCAGTCGCCCTAAAAGGATCAGTGATAATTAGAATGATAATTTCTGGACTTCAGGGAGCATATTTCACACGAACGTTGGACTCTCCGACTGCTATGAGATAAAACCAAGGGGACAGTACAAATGTTAACTTTACATTTCTGACAATGTGGATGTACAACCAAAATATGTTTAATAGATTATTTTTCGCCCAGTGATGGCTGTTTCCATGAACATTCAATAGGGAGCATCTTTAAATATGTCCCAACTTTTGATACTCATCTGCATAAGAACGATGTCCAAGGCAGACGGTCACAAACTGCAGCAGTAGGTTAACTTCAAGACACACTGCCTGTAATACCAACCGTCAGAGCTACACCTGGCAGATGCAAAGGCCCAAGCCTGCCATGCCTCACATTCAGGCTTGCTCCATTCTGATTGGTCCTGGGCTCAGCTGAGACCCAAAGGACCTGATGTGTGGCTTTCGGCCGGCTTGTTGACTGCCCGTTTCTATTCCAGATGACTGCTTATTTTAACATCCTCAACTGAACTATTCAAGCTGTGTTACCTCAAATACATGACTTTCAATGATCTTTTCTTTTGAATACTTCACTTTTTGCCATGTGTCTGCTTGTCTGAGAAATACAAGTGATGGATAAAATACTTAGAAACTCATAAATGTACTTAGCAGGTATTCATATAAAACGGTTACCTGTAAGTGATGTGGCACGAGTGGTGGATCCACACCAGCTTGCTGAAGCGCTGCCGCCCCCCAGAGGCCAACTGCAGGCCAACATGGAAGCTCCGCTCCATCTCCGGCGCTGGGTTCCGCCGGCAGAACCGGTTTTTCTGATACTCTGTCGCCCTCTGCAGAACAAAAGCACCCAGCACATGTATCATTGCTGGACTGGCATTACAGGACGTACAGGCCATGGCCCCCCCAGCCCCACTAGCTCTACAAAGTGTGTTAATTAGACTCATAGTCCCAGGTGTACTAACAAGGTCAAAATCAGCTCCATAAAACCCCTGATGACAGAGTTCAGTGTAGTTATATGACGTTACTCCAAGTTAGGAGCTGCAGTGTAGTGGCAGGTGAGGAGAGGAAAGCTTACCTCATCCTTTTTCTTGGAAACGACGACAAAAACTTTGGTTTGATTGTCTGTGTCCTGGGAGAGACGGTAGTGGCCGAAGAGGACAGAATCCACCCTGGGGGGGGGGGAGGGGAGATAAACAGGATGCCTCAGAAAGCAGGCACATCGAGCTCACGCTACACCAGGAGCTTCCTGTACCTGCAGCTCCTGGTCCGCAGACGAGGGACTGTGGTCAGGGGGTCCTCAGGCGTGGTCAGCATGAAGACCTGGCCATCAGGGAAGAAGCGCAGGTACCTGCAGACGTGGCACGGGGCCGGGTGAGAGGGGGGCTGGGCATCACTGGGGGAGACCGGCGAGCCGGATCAGGGACCGGGCCTACCTGTAGTACTCCACCTGATGCCAGGCCCGGTAGAATCCATCCAGCGACTCCTCGCCCTGGCGGATGTAGGATGTCTTGCTGATATACACGCCTGCCAGGAAGGGAAAAAGCTACTCAGACAGCTGCTTAAAATAGTGGCTCTTCAGTTTATAAGGAAAAATGATCTTTTCCTAATTCAGGTACGGGTGGCCAATGGGGAGTTTGTGCATACCATCAAAGCGCACTCGAGGCCGTTCCAGGAACATCTGCCTCCACGAGGTGAAGGGCACCATTTTGGTGCAGCCCCGCCCCCAAACACGCAGGCAGGCTGAGCGCCAAATCTCTGGGTCCCTGGAATTGACCAGAAGGGAGGTCAGGACAGAAAGTGCGGCAAGCATGAAATTGAACCGGCGAGGGCCAGTCTGTCGTCCAAATCAATCCAGCGAGGGCCAATCTGTCCCTCGTCCCACCTTCATCTTCCGTTTGCCTTTCAGTGACTGAAACACTCCCCCTCACACCCCCCCATCCCAGTCCTGTTGGTGGTGTCAGAGCCAAAGGGTGTGGTTACTCCAAATTGCATCCCTGTCATGTGAAACTCCGCACCCCCCAGCACAGGAGAGCTCCCCTCGAGCCCTAAAGCAGTCACATTTCAGGGGGGGCAGGCACACGCATAAAGCTCCAGCCGCATTCAACACAGCCTGCTGCAATATGCAGCCAGGGCGCCCCAAACGCCAGGGGAACCCCATCACAGAAGACGCGGGATGAATGACCCCTGAAACACAGCAAAGAGCTCTGGAAGGGTCACCCTCCCATCAGGGAGCATCAGGGACCACCTTCTCCAGCTGGGCCGGGGCGAGCTCTGGTGCTGGGTGGGCATTTTGCGATCTGTCAATGGGCACTGGCATGAGACCCCCACCTGGCACAAACGTAGAAGCCCCGGCACACGAGGGAGAGCTGCTCCAGTGCGCGCAAGTCCAAGTCGCTGGACACGACCCAGCGGAAAATGTACATCATGACCTCCAGGGGTAGAGCTGGGGGGGGACAGCAGAAAGACATGCTTACAAAAGGGTGTAATATGAACGAAGACCTGACTAAGCTGTACCTCCCTTACTCTCAAATGTACCCAAGCAAGAAGAAGTGGTGAGTTCAAAGCCCTTAAGAACATATGCGGCTTCTGCGTTGGATAAAGGAAGTTAATCCATAACCGGGATATTAAGAGACATGAGCGTGTGAAGAGGTGCACCAGCATCACCGCACTGGGGGGCGGCAGGTGAGGGAAGGTCTGTCAAAAGCACCACTGAAGCTGCTGGGATCCCAGAAACAGAGAGCGATGTGACTCCAGACAGACACGTCTCTCACACTTACGCTGAGTTTCTTAGCGAGAACGTCGCAGAAACGCTAACAGGACATTCTAGCAAGCACCTGAACTGACTCACACGTAAGACGCGTGAGCTTCGCCGCTGACGGCGTCGTTACCAGAAATGTGCGTCTGCGTCCCCTCAACCTCCGGCTCACAGATTTTGCGAGTTGTGTCCTGCAGGGCGAGCTGATGCTGGAAGTAGGCCAGTAGGTCGGCCATCTCGAACCCCTGCTCAGTCTCCACGGTGCTGCGGGGTACAGGGAAATGCATAAACCATGGTGGGTATTCCCTGGCATAAGGCTCCAGAGCAACCTGCAAGCAGGAAATGCTATGACTGGTTGAGGAGAAAACTTACTAGCTGCCACCAAGGCCATCAGGGTCAGGGGTGCGACAGTAGTTGATTTTGAACTCAATGTCAGGCACGAGCTGCATGGCTCTGCGATAGTACTTGATAGCTGTAAAAGTGTGGGAGGGGGGAAAAAATGGGGAAATTATCTTAAGACGAGCTGCGTTATGCTGTGGCTCACAAAGCCACCGTCTGCGTGCAGGTTATACGAGTCACGCCATGAGGGGGAGGGGCACAGACTTTACTCAGCACACTGGCATGTTTACTTCCAGGGCCCTCAGACAGTGTGAAGCTCTTCTACTGACGACGTATTTTTCGTACCTTTAAAACAAGCTTGTTTTGTCCCGGAAGCTCACCTTCATAAACGGCTCCATTTTGTTCTTCCTCCACAGCCTTCAGGAACAGTTCTCGGGCCTGAAACCATCAAAAAGCCATAAAACACCAGATTATGCAGAAAACAGGCAGACTTTTGGCCGGATCAGCCAGCTGCTCCTGCCAACTGCTCCTGGTGGCTCCTCACCGTCTCCTCCCGCGCGAGATCCTGCTTCTTTTTCGGGTCTCCACACTGGAAGGACCCTCTGAGAGCCGCCTTCAATCCTGTGGTGGGCTTCAGCTCAGACATCCACCTTTCCCTGAACACACTGAGCTCCAGCTTTTTGGGTGAGAACACAACAATGTTCTGCACAATTACTGTACAGTAGACAATTTCAACAGGATGGAAACTCGCACTTTACACCTTAACCGATTCAAAACCACAACACATGACAGCAGCACGTACTTGGAGGTCGGAGTCCCCTGCATTTTCACTATCTTCATCTTCCTCTTCTTCCTCTAACAAACCAGTTGAATTGATTTCATTTTCTGCCTGAGAAGATGAACAAGTGACATCATAAAAGTAACATAAGCAGATGCCATCGTAAGATTGCCGTTGGGCTCTAAGCTCACAGAGGGTACATCTATTAATTATATGTGTCCATCATGATGCCTTGACCAAGAAGAAGATATGCTTCATTCAACACAGGGGGAAATTATGTGACCTTGAAGTGTTGATTAAGTCTCCAATCCACAGAAGATGTGTGTTACAGGTTGGTTTAGATGCCTTAAGAAGCATGGCGCATTAATGAATGATTTATCAAGGGGACAGGGTTCCGCATGGCAGCAGTGATAGCGCGGACACGCCCATCGGTGACGCGCCACGGGCAGACATGGGACTAACCAGCCCTAACGACGCCAGTACGACGATGGCATGGTGAATTAGCGAAACTACCCATCGTTCATATTTATGCTGGCAATAACTAAGTGCAGCATTTTAAAACGCGAACATGTCAATGCCAGTAAGAGGTGACGTTATTCAGCCACCTGACGTATGCTGCAGGTTATGGTTTAAGCAGATGGCTAAATGCACCACGCATCTACAAATATACATACATATATATATATATACGCAGAAGCAGATACGAGGGATTTAACTAGGTAATCGAGATGGGTTATAGCAGGCAATCCTCCTATACGGGTGCAAAATACTGCTAAACGTCTTCAAAAATTTCAAAGCAGAAGAGTTAAGAGTTGCTTACTAACATAACTAGCTAACCAGCAGGTTAGGCAATCAGACAGTATGCAACTAGTTGGAACGGCGAAATATCGAACTGACTGGATAACTACCATTACGGCGTCTATGGGACGGCTTTTTAATTCCTTCACAAATAGGACGGTTTAGTTGAGTTCTCGGTCAGAGAAGCGGACGACACAGCGGGCGAAATTGCGGGCTCTCCACACGGCAGCCATGTCGGACGGTCTGTCAACAGGGCCGCAGCGGTGCCAGCTGGGGCAGGAGCTCGTAAATCAGGCCGGAAGTGCTACCAGTCCGGCCGGAAGCCGCTCCGCGTGCTCGCTCGTCATTGGCTCTCCTCTCGTGGTTTTTGAGGGAGGTGGAAGTGATGGACATAGCAGGAATGCGATAGTTTCAAAGGGAAGAGAAATGCGGTTACTTTCATTGAAAGAAAATGTGCTTGAGCATATGTTATTATGAAACTGAATCTTTTAATCGATACCACACATTTATTCAGTGATGATTGTAAAAACTTATGTTATAGTTACAGTATCATGAAAATGAGATGCGCTGCCCCCTGGTGTTGCGACATACTCACATACTGGTCGATCTTCGATGCAACAAGACGCTTTACATTAGCTACAAATGCAAACTGCAAAATCAGTTTTAATGAGATAACTATATTCATACTTAAATTGAGAGACATTAAAATTAAATATTTTAAAACCATCGTTTTGCATCATGAAGTGCAGTTCTTTTTTCCATCAGGAACAAGGATAATAAGGACTACATTTTATCCCAGTGCATCAAAATAAGAAAACCTTAGCGAGGTGTGGAACCTGTAGTTTACATTCCATTCAAACGTTTTGATGTAGTGAGAAACTTATTAACTGGATTTCACTATGATTACTACATTCAAAGCCCAATTCATTATTTTCATTTTCAGATCTGATTACCATTGTACCGTAAATAAAATTTTGTAGAACCTAGGACAACATACCATTTAAACTACAGCATGGTTCGTAAAGCACAACTTCGGCGTTAAACTCGCCGAAAAATCACGGCACCCGACTGGCTGACATTAACGAAGGCTGTCTGTTGACTTGCAGGTAGCGAACACCAAATGGTTCCGGAGACCAATGAAAGCACAGAGCCGCACCGTCGCCGTCCAATGAAAACGCGAGATGAGAGCCAGCGCTTTGTTGCCATTTGCGGTCTGAATCACAGCCTGTCGGCGTGGGCGCCATGTTGGACTGGCAGGAGTCTGCACGAGATTGTTTTGGGTGGAGGGTCTGCCGAGTGCCTGTTTTGTTCATCCATCTGAGCACAAATGTTTATGTACCGGGTTACAGTGCGACAGGTACGTCTGCTGTTTATTGCAATACTCTCCTGTAAAATATCACACGGCAGTTATCCGATTTGATATATATCTTGCAGGATTTAATTGTCACATCTGCCTTGGGTGGTTATAAACTTTTGTGATGATGTTAACATTACTTAACAATATGCATAAGTGCTGTAGGGATCGTCTTGTGCTTTTTGCGTATTAATGGTTAAATCAGTTGTCACCCTGCGATGTGAGTGTACCTTGCTAACCAGTCCATGCAATAGATGGTCGGAGGATGCTTAACCGCCCTTCTTCATCCCAGATGTTGCAGCTTTGGATATGACTCGAGAAGAGTAGAAAACAAATAAAATCAAAGCAGACATATTTTAATTAATCTAAAAAATAATTGCCATTCCTTGTCAATATTTTGATGGATTCTGGAATCAATAGATGTTTGTTATCGCGACAGCCCACACCGATCTTACCACAGAGATTGATTGTAGTGAAGAGTGCTGGACGGATCATGACTTTTTCCATTCTTTATCTTAGTAGGTTTTCTCTATAAATGTAATTGTGTTACTCTTCTCTGTGCTAATGTTGCCTTACAAACAGCCTCAATGCTACCCATTGTGCATTCATTTAATGTATGAAATTCAGTCGCCTACATTGTCTTTGTCATTTATTTGTGTTCAGAATTCATAAAGGAACCCAGTCTTGTTGCTCTTTCCTTTTTGCACATTCTTTGGGATGGGTGCTGTGGCGCTGGGCCTTTGGGTTCTGGGGTCACATTCTCTACATTCCTAATTTCTGCGCATGGACCTCATTTTAAGATCTCCCCTAACATAAATAGTTTGTGGCATTTAATGAATTATACCATCTTTGTCCCAGGGCAAAATAATCAGCCTTCACAAAAAACGTTGGATTAATGTGAGAGTTGCTATGGTTATGAAGGTGTGGCGTTTGACCATGTTTTATGACCAGAACTAGGTTTCCTTGGAGCTGAGGTAGAGCTGGGTGTTCCTTCATGAAGTCTCTCAAGCCATCTGTCTCAGTCATTTGTGCTGACACTTCCAAATGTCAGGCACTGTGCAGTTTTCAGTTGTGATCCTGCCTCCCTGTAAATGTGTAGATGATCATCCGACCCTCCTTTGATTCTTTGGCATGGTGCTAATTGCTGTGATGCCCTCTGTCCCTGCAGGTGGGGGGTGGCCAGTGAAAATATGACTCCTTCCGGGACCCCTATGCATGTCATCCCCTGTTGTTGCCACAGAAAAATCTGGTTGCAGTCGACAGTGTGCCGCTGGGCTCGCATGCAGCCGCTGGTGCCCCTTTCCCGCGGGTGAAGGTGACGGTGACGGGGCCACACCATGAATAGATACGCCACGCTCCGGCAACTCGGGGATGGCACCTACGGCTCCGTGCTCCTTGGCCGCAGCCTGGAGACTGGCGAGCTGGTGGCCATTAAAAAGTGAGTATGCCAGGTGCAGATGGGAACTTCCTCACTTCCATGTCAAAGCTCAGAGCTGGGAGAACGCGGCGCTTTGCTGTGACACACAGTTTTTTTTTAAATGGTAATTTACTTTTGAACTATGATTTAAGGTACATTCCATACCACAGAATTTGCAACCACTGAACTTTTTTTCTTTCTTAACTGAATCTATCCTAATTAGGATATAATTTCACGATATGGAACGTGCTTCATGATTCATGGGAATCTATTGTGGTAGTTCAATTATAAATCAACCTCTCTGATAATTCTAGTTGAGCCACTTAGAATAAAACTCCGGGCCTCTCAGTTGGTGAGTAAATGAATCTGTTTTATTCGAGCAATCCAGCAAAGCGCTTCCGTCACACACTGGCACTCGGTACCAAGTCAACCTGAGCACACAGAGCAACCAGTTGATAAACCGTAACTCTCAATACCCTATAAGGACTTCTAAGTCCTGATTGGTCACAAAACACCAACAAACACAATTTTCCTGTTCTTTTGGTTCACCTTGGTAGCAAGGTAAGATCCACCCATTTTGCTCAATTTACCGGAATCTGTCTCGACTGCTAGACTGTACTTGAAATATGTATATAGCTATTGATTATATGACATTGAATGACTGTAAATATTTGGTTGTCCTCTGATTAATGATTAACGCATTGACATATTGTCATTGAATCACTGCAAATACATAGTTAACATATGATTAATATGATTATCGTAACAATTAGTTATACATTCGTACTATCGCATAACATATTGCGTATTGTCTACTGTGACTACTTTATAACTGCAACTCTTTGTGCACCAGTTAGTGCAGCTTTGAATCCCTTTCTGCAGACAGTCCACCCCCCCCCCCCAGTCCGCTGTCTGTCTCTCGAAGGTCCAATCTCTCTTCAGGGTCTGCGGAACCAGCCACAGGCAGCTATCATGAGATGAGGACACACAATATTCAAAACAATCTTTTCTTGCCTAAGGCCTAAGACATATAAGACATAAGAGACCCAATGTGCTGGGCCTACCAATGTCCAATTTTCCTTCCACACTATAATCCGTAATGCAGTGGTGGGGGGGGTGGGGGTCGTGTGGAATTATCCTGCACTGTCAGCCGCGTGTAACACTCGACTGCTGTCGCTTCAGGTTCATATAGCATCTTTCCCATGTGAGATCCTGCTGGGAGGAGGATTTGCTTTGCTTTCTGCTGCGCTGTCGAAACCACACGTGGAGAGTGTTCAGTTTGGGAGGAGGGGAACAGGATTAAAGGGATGAGGTGTTTGGCATTTAAGATGGTCTGGCACGGGGGGCAAAAATGTCAGTGTTCTCAAAAAATGAATGAGCTGTGTTACTCCTGCTGCAGGACCCTGTATCGTCCTCCTGCAGACTCAAAGGGGCATGGGGGTGCCGCATGGAGAGTAGTTATACATGCATATAATCCGTTAATCCAAAAGCTATGCATACATAATTTGTTCCTATACATTTTCTATCCCCGCCCCCCCAGTTTGGTGCAGTGCTGGGTTTAATGTGAGTCATCGGGCATCTCAGGAGTCGCTGCTGCTGAATAATTTAGCTGTGCGACGCTTTAATGCAACTACGCCTTGTAAAAATAGCAGGGATCTCAAATGCAGGTTGTGATCTGGGAACTGCAAAGGTTGACGGCGGGGTCACTGAAACTCACTGTGCGCTTTCTGTGCCTGGAATATAAAAGCATTATTTTTTTTTTTTTCTTGGGGTTCAATACTGTTAATACCCTGGACCTGAACTCAAAACCTTGAACTTATGAGTTTTGTTTCACCCTTCAGACTGATGTTGGTTTTGCTTGTTTTTCAGAATGAAGAGGAAGTTCTACTCATGGGAGGAGTGTATGAATCTCCGGGAGGTCAAGGTACCTCATTGTGGTGCCGCCTTAGAACAGGCCGGAGCGCCGCGTCTCCCGGATTGTCAGTCACACACCGCCGTCGTAGAGCGGGCCGGAGCGCCGCGTCTCCCGGATTGTCGGTCACACACCGCCATCGTAGAGAGGGCCACAGCGACACGTCTCCGAGATCCATTGTAGAGCGTTTTCGAGAGCGTCGGTCACACGCCGCCATTGTAGAGCGTTTTCGAGAGCGTCGGTCACACGCCGCCATTGTAGAGCGTTTTCGAGAGTGTCTGTCCCACACCGCCGTTGTTGAGTGGGCCGGAGCGACGCGTCTCGGAGTGCGTCGGTCACATGCCGCTGGTCACGCACCATCATCCTGCTTGTCGGGTTTAGGGAATTCTCTGCATTCTTGACTTTGGGGTGACATTAGACCATGGGAATGAATAATGGGCATTGATCGTAGCTGGGGGTGAGGTTGGATCGGCCCAGGCCAGGATCCTGCCAAGCTTTTAACTTTTAGCTTGTGAAGCACTACCTGGAACATTCTGGAAAATGGCAGGATTCTGCACAGTGGTAAATCGCTCAAGCCTTCGCTGCCTAACCAATGTCTTATGCTGTTTTTGCCCATGACTCGGAGCCCCCCCCCCACCTAGTTAAATCGCAGCACTGCTCAGATACCAGCACAGACGATACAGTAGGTGGCCGTGTGTCCCTGGGATGTGTGAATTTCCTCTCCATCTCCTGGCTTTTCTGTCCAAAACGTAGGGTGTCTGCCAGGCTGCATACAGAATCCGGCAGAGTAGAGTTAGGGCTGCCCCTTGTTTAGCATGTCCTTGAGTGATGCCCTCATGGGCCACTGGTATGGTCTGCTCGAACCCGGCACTTTGCCAGTGCATGGCGATCATCCATCAGATACCTGCCGAAGCCTCCCCCCCCTGCCAGCCTGCTGTGGTTTGTGGTGTGATTTAAGCCTTCCCAAGTTGATTAAGTGGTGGGAGGGGCCCCCACCCCAAGCGCTGTGTGGCCTCTGACCGGGCCTCATATCCCAGCATGCAATGCTCCTCGTTTACAGACGCGTTGTGCTTCCCCGGCATTTTGTTCAGTTCCGTGTGGCCGGTTCTTTCATGGCTGTGACCTTCTCCCACTTTTCCCCCGGAACTGCAGTCGCTGAAAAAACTGAACCACGCCAACGTGGTGAAGCTGAAGGAAGTCGTTCGGGAAAACGACCATTTGTATTTCGTGTTTGAGTATATGAAAGAGAACCTGTACCAGCTGATGAAAGACCGGTGAGTGTCTCTTTAGCGCGGTTATCGAGTTCCGCGTGGCTGGCTGTTCTGTCCGGCTAGACGTATCCTCAGACTGAAACAGATCCTGGTGGATCCCAAAAGTTGAACGGAGGAATGTTATACAAAACGCAACCCTAACAACGCCTCCATTTTACTAAATAATACCCAAAATCCGAGTACTGTACAGTTACCTTTAAAAGTTGCATTCTATGATACTTAGCAGGAGGGGCTTTTCTGTAGCGCCTCGGCACGCAGAGCGGCCCGTGTTTCCGGCTGTGCCTCGGCCTAGAAGGCCGTCACGGCTGCTCATGGCGTGACCCCATCCCGCATCTCACACCGCAGGAGTCGGCTGTTTCCAGAGTCGGCTGTGAGGAACATCATGTATCAGATCCTGCAAGGGCTGGCCTTCATTCATAAACACGGTGCGTGTGGGGTATAGGCGCTCAGCGTGGGTGAAGCACCGAGACCCCGCCTCAGCTGAACCTTCCTGTGCCCCTCAGGGTTTTTTCACCGGGACATGAAGCCGGAGAACCTCTTATGCATGGGTCCTGAGCTGGTGAAGATAGCAGACTTCGGCCTGGCGCGGGAGATACGGTCCCGGCCCCCCTACACGGACTACGTTTCGACAAGATGGTGAGTGAGCCATGTCTGAGGGTGTAACCCTCTCTCAGGGTCACATGGTAAGTCAGGAGTCTGGCAGAGATCATGCACTGTGTTGATGTCTTAAACCCTCTGGTTTACCTGGAATGTTCACTATTTGTGAGTGAGGAGGAAGCATAGTATTACCCAGGCTCCTGTGAAGGGTCTGTTACTGGCCTTTTTGCACAGGCCACTTGTTGCGTGTTCAGTCTGTAGCTGCCGTGTTGAGCCTCTCATGCCCCTTCCCAGGTACCGCGCCCCTGAGGTTCTCCTGAGGTCCACCAGCTACAGCTCTCCGATCGACCAGTGGGCGGTGGGCTGTATCATGGCTGAACTCTATACGCTGAGGCCCTTATTTCCTGGCTCCAGCGAAGTGGACACCATCTTCAAAATCTGCCAAGTTCTGGGGACGCCAAAGAAGGTAGTTGGCCGTTAGCGTGACAGCTAAGGATGCAGATGCAGGGTAACCTAAAGGTTGTTGTTTAATGTCAGCTGGTGTGTGCTTGGCTTAAGCTGCGTGGCACTCGGGATGATAAATGTGACTTAGGAACATCACCTGATCCTGCTCTCGCAGAACGATTGGCTGGAGGGCTATCAGCTGGCTGCAGCCATGAGCTTTCGCTGGCCGCAGTGTGTGCCCAGCAACCTGAGGACCTTGATCCCCAACGCCAGCACTGAGGGCATCCACCTGATGCGGGACCTACTCCAGTGGGACCCCAAGAAGAGACCAACTGCCAGTCAGGTGACCGCTCTGCAGAGGCTCGGGAGAGCGTGTCCACCGTCACTCAGCCTCCCCTCCTGACAGACGTATGATGTCAGCACACCGGTGCCTAAACATGTTTCCTCTTAACCTCCAGGCTCTCCGGTACTCGTACTTCTTCGTGGGTCAGGTTCTGGGGACCCCGCAGCAGATCCAGGAGCAGGGCAGACCCCAGCCGGCCCCCCTGCAGCTGAAGCCCTTGCCCCCCCCACAGCCTCCGCCCCAGCACCGCTTGCCCTCTCGTCCCCTACAGCAGATCCAGCCTGGCCCCTCGCCCCTCTACCAGCAGAGGGCGGAACCCGAGCAGGAACCACGAGAGCCGGCCAGCAAGATGGGCGAGGCTTTGGGGCTGCCGCAACTGCACCTGCCGCTGCTCCACGGCATGGGAGGGCAGCCGGCTGCACAGGTACTTTCGCTAACGATGCTAACAGTGCTCACTGTGCTAACAATGGTACCTTTGCTAATGGTGCTTACAGTCCTGTGCTGGCCCTGAGTCACATACCCTTCTTCTGCTAGAGATACCCCTCACAGTGTCTCCTTCCACAAGGACTTTGGTGTTTCCTAACGAAGTATGTCAGCATGTGGGTGAAGGCAGAGTTTGAACCACAGCGGGCAGCCAGGTTGTCCCGCTTTCTGATCATGCGAGAGGGGCGTGCAGCTAGCTGGATGGAGTGGGGGGCTGGTGTGCTGGAGTGTAAAGGGACACCCCCGTCCACAGCGGCTGGCCGAGGAGACCGAGAACGCTAACCTGGCCAGCTACCTGACGAAGCCTCGAGCCGGCCGGCGGCGCTGGGGCCACGGGGAAGGGACCCTGAAAGCTGACGACTGGGGCGATTACGAGGAACCGGAAGCGCTGGCGGCAGGCGCCCTCTGCAGGACGACGTTGGCCAATGACAAGCGGAGGCCGGGAGACGAGGCCCTGGGCAGGTGCGGGCCTCTCGTCGTACTGGCCAGGACCTGCTGCTGTCGTTTGCCTCTGGCCTAACTGCCGCCGTCCTGTAGGTTTGGAAGCGCCCAGGACTTCAGTGGCACCAATGGAGCTGATGTGGTTGGGCTCGGGAACGCCAATCTCCCGCCGTCTCACCAGGACCCGAGTGTGACCCGAGCAGCATCTGCCAAGCAGCATTACCTGAAGCAATCTCGTTATTTACCAGGCAAGTGTCTGCACTTAATGTTCTTTTGCATGTTTATTCAGTAAAACCACTGTTCACCTACTGTTTTTTTTTTCTTAACATTTTTCTTACTCTTGTATTAGAAATTCATTGATTAAACTGGCAAAAGTAAATGCCCCTTAAACATCTTCTCTGAGTAAATAATCACCCTCTGCTTGTCATACAGGGATCAGTTCAAAAAAGATGGTGGCAAACTCAGAAAAGGATCACAGCGGAAACATCCTGTGGGGGCGGAACAGCATCCCCATGGGAGGAGGGACGCTTCTCAGGGCTGTCCAGGGTGAGCCTGCCCCTCCAAACCCCCCCTCCCCCCCCCCCCCCACCGGGGCAGCCCCGCTAAGCCTTGCTTATTTATTATAGGGGAGACAGTCTTTTATTGTAATGTATCTAGGCATTAAATAATAATCCGCTGGTATTTCTCAACAAACGCAGGTGCCAACACCCTTCCAAGTGCATATGTGTCCTCATCTTACAAAAAGGAAACGGGCTTCGCTGGGCAGAGGCGTCACATGGGGCTTGTCAAGGACTCGCCAGTGTCGAGTAAGTGTGTCTGGTGACAGGAACCTGGCAGTGCCCGTGAGATCAGCCACTAAGGTCAAATCTCAAAATGTACATTAAGCAAGTCAAAAAGGATATCTTAACTTTCGGTAGGTAAAGTGTGAGATAACCCTCAGCTTTTTGTACTGTGCAAGCTTTGAACAATTACTTGATCATGAGAGCTGTGATTTTTTTCTATATTTTCAATTTACTTATGGCCATGGTTATGTGCTTAATGATCACTTCTGGTTCTATATTTTTTGTGGTTTTGAAAATGTAGTATTCATTAGTTTTTTCTCTCTCTCTCCTCTGAGATTATGCAACATGGAGATCAAATCGGAATGAAGTTGCCGCCACATCATATATTTCCTCGCCAACCAAGAGCACCCCTGGTCTCAGGCTCCGCCCCCCTGTCGCACCTGTACATGGTCGTACAGATTGGTCGGCCAAATATGGGCACCGTTAGTGACTTATGGTGGCCTGGTGGCCAGCCTCCAATTGGCCACATTGGCTTAACACAGCCAATCATGTTTTACGCTGGTATTTTGATATAGAACATGTACATACATGATATGCAGCAATAATATCTGTTTTGTATTTGTCTCTGTATATATTGTACAAGTAAAACTATTTTATATGGCTAAATATGCACTTGGCCAGAATTGTTGTTGTTTTTGATGTGTGTTTTTGTCAGATGGAATGCACAATTTATTGCAGGGTCGATGTCAAATTTAGTATTTGTGACTCATCCAGAATCTCCAGCCTGTGTCCCCTTTTTGTTTCTGTAATCCAGTGTTCACACAGTTAGGGTCCTGTGTTTTTTTTTAAGACCGAAAGAATGAGTCTTGAGTTTTTTTGGCACCTGTTCAGGAGCCATATATGCATTCTGGACCCATGTTTTTTATATGCAGTGATTATTTGGCATTTAAAAAGTCACTGTGATTTCACCATGGAAAATATAGGACTGACGTGATGGTTTTTGTGTGATATGATGGTGTTCATGCTTCATTTTTTATCTGAATGTCTTATTTTCTGTTACAGTTGTCATTGTTTACCTTTTTAATTTAAATAATATTTGTGCAGGTTCAGTTATCCAATTTTTAACTTTTTGTTAACCGATGACCTGCTCCATATAGCAGCGTATCCAAGTTATTAAAGTATTGTTGAACTACAAATTCTTAGTGTGTTGTAACCATATATAAATATTACTTGCGGATATATATTCTCTATTTTATTATTCTGTCCCATTGCAGTAAATGTGTTGGCTGTTTTTGAATCATGTTTTAAAGTGTCAGTTTCTTATTTTCATAACTACATGCTATATTATAAAATGTATTAAAAAAAAATAATAGCAAGGCCACCCTACTTCCTTTTTGGTTTTTTATGTAAAGTTTTGTAGTGATAGTAATTCATTATTCAATACTGTTAAAATGTTATGCCTGTAATTAATCATTTCGAAATGAACAGAACCCCCCCCCCCGAATCTGACCAGGATCAGCTGTGTTTGGAAGTCTATGGATAAATTCACAGCATAGTGTAAAGCCAAAGCTACAAATGTTAATTTTGCATGTGTGCAGTTTTTTTACGTTTTAAACTAAACTGTTGTTCAAAGCATGTAGTGACGTCTTGGTGAGTAGTTAGCAGAAGTAAGTAGAATAAATGGGAAAACGAAGGCAGACTGCCACGTGCAGCGCCGCACTTGGATGTGTCTGAAGTCTCGGAGCTTGACTTCCCTACGTGTCTCCTACAAATGGGCCTTGAGCTTGTTTGGAGGTTCTAGCAGGGGAGCGCAGCTACTCGTAAACCTCTGAACGATTCTCTTCCGCCGGGGGCAGCTCGTCCTCTATCCACCGAGCGCGGGGCTTCGGGAGGGACGCACATGGAGCGGTGAGGGAGGAAGGGGACACCCGCCTAGCCAGCCAGATCAGCCGAATCAACCCTAGCGATCGATGGGGTGACAGATGTCGCAACCAGATCGCCCTCACATCCAGAAATCTGACTTATCTTGATGGGTTTTATTCAGCCGCGAATGTATAACTTTTTCAGTCATGGTGAATGACTGTCATGTTTTTACTCATGAGAGATAACATCAATATAAAATCACTCAGAATTAGTATGTCCTGTTTTATGTATTTCTTTAATTGTACATTTATACGAAATATTACTTTTTTGATAACCCATAATTCTTTGTGGTAAATGTGGGCCGACTATGCAAATATGTTTCACGATGAGCATGACAATTGGTTCTTTTTTTCGGCCCTTTGATTGGCTCTTCGCAGTAGCTGTTAAACGATATAAGGAGTGCGCTCTGGCGAAGCCCTAGTGAATTGCAGCAACAGTTCTAAGGATTGTCTACCTGGAAGTGTAAGAAGAAACTTTATGACCAGATTTTTTAATGTTATGTTTTTCCACTACACAGCCCTTTCATTTATCCCCCTTTCCAGATAAAAACTCGCGGAGATGGCAGAAAAAGTAACCCTATATTATTTTGATGGAAGAGGACAGATGGAATCTATTAGGTGGCTGTTGGCGGTGGCTGGGGTCGAGGTAAAGACCGACGGTAAAATTAGGTGCAATTGTATAAACGTTGCGTTTCGAGTTGCTCGGTGTTATTATTTATTTATTTACTGTCATCTATGTCTTGAGTTTTTGTAGGGGTGCCATTATTTTTGCAAGCAAAGCCGATCCTTAAACGTTTTTTTTTTAGTTTACATTTTTACATGAACATGTTTCTCCTTGTGCAGTTTGACGAAGTGCTACTGAAGACCAGAGAGCAATTTCTGAATCTGCTGAAAGGTATGACCCCCCCGCCCCCCACTCATTGACAAAGTTTCATCACACATCTGGCTATATTTTAACTTGTGATATTACTTTCGACCGTTACACTTTGGTCGGAGCGCTATTGTAAATTTGCGTGGTGTGCATGACGACTCCACTTTTTATGCGATTCTTTTTTCATAAATAAATTCTCGAACTTTTTTTACAGATGGATCGCTTATGTTTCAGCAGGTGCCTCTGGTTGAAATGGACGGGCTGAAGCTCGTGCAGACCAAGGCTATTCTCAACTATATATCTGCGAAGTACAATTTGTATGGGAAGGACCTTAAAGAAAGAGTCAAGTACCGTTTTCACATGTTTTGTACATTAATTATTTTGTCGACACAACGAATTAACATGCCAAAATATTTTTGGCATATGAAGTTTACGATAAAAATGTGTCCTATAGTAGTAATATGATTAACGGAAATACACTTTAAGCACAGGATTATCTGTGACAGGAACAGTGAATGGCTAAGTAGGTGTTTTCTTTACATCAGATTAACCAGGCAATACTACCCTAACCCGAGTTAGTCTCGTGATATATTTAACAAAATATGGCAAATAGCTTTGACTTTAGCTAGAAAACATTTTCCTCCTGATGCAGTGCAGGGATGCACATTCTGTTTTTCCATTTGAAGGATTGATATGTTTGCTGAGGGAACCAGAGATCTGATGGACATGATGAAGATGATGCCATTCCTCACCCCGGACAACCAGAAAGGCAAACTGGAGGAGATGCACCGCAAGGCTTTAGAGCGATACTTCCCCGTCTACGAAAAGGTGTGCCTTCTTTGCTGCACACACAGTCTAGGGACTGTGAATTGAGGTTCGATTTGATTTAAAACCATCATTCTCTCATCAACAGGCACTGTCTAATTCTCAGTACCTGGTAGGCGAGCAGTTAAGCTGTGCAGATATTCACCTGCTGGAAGCCACCTTAATGGTGGAAGAAAAGTGTCCCTCAGTGCTCTCCACCTTCCCAAATCTACAGGTAATTCAGGGAGAGGGAGGGTCCGGCCGCTTCCAGGAAGCTCACTAACCCTCTCTCACCCAAAGCCTTTTCACCTTCACATCACTCTGAACCAAAGCGTCTGCTAAGGCCATAAATAACTAAATTCTAACCCTCCAGCACTTCGGGGGTGGGGGGGTGGGTCCTTTATATTGTATAGAAAATGAAACCTCTCTTCAGAAGGATTGATTTAAACTGAACAACTTACCATGATCAGTTGTCATAAATTTACATGATGTTTAGCATTTAATTTATAGCTTAGTGTCAGGTGAGCTGATTCTAATCAATTACAACTTGAGTCAAACAAAAAACAGGCACTGGAGAATGAAATGATTCATCTTAGAATAAAATACATAACAGCTACACACCACAAAAATCCAATACATATAATGTATTTCAGTATTGGTCATTTCCTAGGGTCAGAGCCCAACATTCCTGAACTACATGTTAATGACTAACTAATTTATTAAGCCCAAAAGAGGAGACTCACTGTGCGAGTAAGGGTTTATGAAGCTCGCTATCAATGATGGTATGCTCGTGTGTGGACAAGCAAAAAGTTGACATGTTATATAAATTGTCTGAAGTATGCTTTACTGTTTCATGGTCTTAAAAATGTATACTGCTTTATAGGTTTCAGGAAATGTGCAGATCTTCTACAGGACCCTACTTGGATAAGGCCCAGATGTGAGATATGTACTGCTTTAGAATTGGGATTAATTAGTGACCCCTTCTATGCAATAGTGACATAGTGATGCGTCTTGTAACCATCAGAAATCCAACTGCTTATCCAATACAGAATGGCGTGGGAGGCTATCCCTGCAGCAAATGGCAGGGGTACACCCTGGACAGGGTGCTAGTCCATCACAGGATGCACATACCGGCAGTCATACGCTGGGGGCAATAAAGAAATACCAGTTCACCTAGTTGCCTCTCTTTGGACTGAAAGGAAACATCCATGCTTTAAGACTGCTTGATTCTTCAGGCTTTTCAGGCAAGGATGACGAGAGTTCCAGCCATCAGCAAGTTCCTGCAGCCAGGAAGCAAGCGGAAGGCCCAGCCCGACGAGGTCTACGTGCGAACCGTGAAGGAGGTGCTAGAGTTTTAGAGAACCTCAGGAGTGCTCTGCAGGACAGCTACCGAAAGACACAACCCGACTGTCTTATGGATAGGAAGTTCACCTTCAGAAAATGATCCCCAATGTTTCCTCCATCTTTCTGTATTGTTGTTCCAGGTCTTTGAGACCATTAAAGCCACCTGCAGAACGGCTTGTATTTCTTGTTCCAAAGCCCCTGGCGTAAATGTGTAAAACGTGCCAAATGCATGTTGAATCTGAGTGTTCAAACACACAATACAGCCAAGTTCCCTAACAAAATAGTCTTTGCAAATGTGATGGGTTTGGATTACGGTAATAAATGGGAGATCATAGGGTCACCATTACAAGTGTGCTGAAACATTACTATTCTTGCGTGGGCGTGCTGTTATAAACAACACCAACACTATAACCAGAAGTGGGGTGGACTTCAGCACAGCATATCAATTGAGCACACATGGTGTCATGTGACCCAATCATCACCCACACTCAGATGCAGATGTAACGATGGCTTCAAACAACGTGCTTGGTGGTTTATATTCAACTTGGGGAAAGCTTAATGCTGAAGAATTATCTTGGAAACATACAAAAGAAACATGCTATTGTTACTATTCATACATAATACAGTGGTACCTCAGAACTCGAAATTAATCCGTTCAGAACTCCGGATCGAATCCTAAAAAGTTCGAGTTGTGATCGAATTTTCCCCGTACGAAATAATGGAAAACCAATTAATTGGTTCCCGGCCCCAAAAAATGACATCTAAATGTTTTTTTTTTTTTTGCATTTAAACACAAAATTAACAGGATAAAACGAGAGCATTTTTTTCTGAATGGCTTCCAAAATGATAAAGATCTTTTCCCAACATTACCCCTGTCCTGCCCCGATCGTCCGCTCCTTCCGTGTGCCACGCCCCCTCGTTAACCTCATGTGGGATCCCCGCGTGATCAGCTGTTTCTGGTTGTTGTCATTAGTCCTCTGTATTTAGTCCACGTTTCAGTTTGTTTCCCCAGTCTGGTCATTGTATTGTCCATCTGCGTTTTGCCTGCCTTACCTGTAATTAAACCCCGTATTCCCCGATACCCTGACGTCTGCATCTTTGTCTCCGTTCCATCCCCGCTCTGCACGACAATATTATAATTAAATGTATTATTATTGTTAATATTAAAATAATTAATAACAAATCTTTATTTTTAAATGTATTTTATTATATAATTACTGTTACTGTCTGATTGTCTAAATGTATTTTTACTGTCTAAATATATTTATTCAGCTTATGTAAACATGCACGATGCTATTACAGCGAATGCGATGCTTAGTCTGAAGTGTTATCCTTTGTTTCCGCTGACGTGATGCGTGACTCATTTCCCCGCGAGTACAAGTTACCATAGGTCGGCATTCAAGGTTTGACTTCTGAGATTCAGATAGAGTTCTAGGTAATTTTTTTTCAAACTGATTGGGTCGACTTTTAAGAAATTTGAGTTCTAATAAGTTCGAGAACTGAGCTACCACTGTACTTAGACTTTAAAATGTTTACTTTCTTAAGACTAACTCTAGCAGAGCAAATAAAGGGGCTATAATCAAATAGAGCATCTAATCAGCGTGAAGCAAAACATTAAAAAGCATAACTGAGGTAAAGGTTTAAGTGAAAAAAATCAATGAAGCCCTTCACACAACACAACTATGGCTACAAAGGTGAGAAGACCAACCCTTTGCAACCTTAACCAAACTACTCAATCCCCTGCTTTGTTATGGTGTCACACAATGGTGTGAAAAGTACATTTACAGAGCTGGTATGAATGGAAGAGGCTGCCTTATACTGGGTGAAAGGCCATGGATCTCTGCATTGCTCTGATAAGAACCGTGTCGTTAGTATTACTGTGCAGGGAAAACTCCACATTTTTACTTGCATTTTCTAAAAATGTGGAAGACAGATGAAGCTGTATACCTGCCATCCACACCTACTGTAAGCCCAGAGGTTAGTGGGGGAAAAATGGAACTTCTCAGGAGAAGATAAAACTGAAATGCTCTGAAGTTTATTTGGAATGTCAGGATAATTAGTGGGGCGCATTCCGACTGCCCCATTCCCAGCGAGCGGACAGGTTAACTGTGATATGGCATCTTAGTGGAATTAGCTGGTGCAATTACACAAATCCAGAATGAAGCAGGAATGATGGTAGACTGAGGGGCAATGGACCTCTCAGCTCAGGGAAGGGAGGGGGCTCACCCTGGGAGGGGGCATGGCTCACCCTGGGAGGGGGCATGGCTCACCCTGGGAGGGGGCTCACCCTGGGAGGGGGCATGCTACAGTACAAGCAGGAGGAGAAGTCGCAGGAACATCAGGGTGCTGAAATCAGATCAGAGACGCTGGTTACTTACCAAACGATTTACCACAAGAAGCCTCTAACGTACAAAGTCACCGCAACACCAGACTAACATTGTGGGGACCATTTCACACACCAAAACAGCAGGACTATTAACAAATACCTCCTCATACGGAAAATGGTTTTAGGAGACCGTTAGTCACATGTGATTACATGAGTATTACAAAATGTACCAAAACCAGTATTACTAAAAATGTTTGTTTCCTGCTCACCTCAAACCAGCCATAACAGCTGGTATAAGTTTGCCAGACTTCCAGTATCGCAATCCCATGATGACAGCCAGAGATCCTGATGACACTGCCATGTCACACACAGGGGGAACAGAAGGAGCACCGATTAAATGGAGAAAGCAAAAAGGTGAAGCAGGTGAAGTTACACTGCACTACTCACACAGGGCAACGCTGGGATTGGTCGTTATTCCGAGGGAGCCGTAAGCAGACAGGCTCCCGAAGAGCAGACCAGCGATCAGCGACATCACGCTGCCTGCATGAGGTGGGATCATGTATAGAGCGTTGAGATGCGGACAGCAGACATTATGCAGCATTAAGTGTATCTCAGGCTGCTCCAGCGTGCTGTGGCAAGTACCCATACCTTTCCTCTTGTACCCCACAATCCCTCCCAGGAGGACAGCCGTGGCATAAGCAAATCCAAGCCAGTCAACAGCCATGGTCCTACCAGTGAGAAGAGAGTGGTTTCAATTTAATTTGGTTACCAGAAGAGCCCCGTTAGAGTTACAGCTCAGTGCTGTTTTTGTTGGTTGTATTAAACCTCCCTTTAAATATCTGTCGTTATTTATGAGTGTTACATTAATTTCATAGGGTCACAGTCTTCTTTCCTGTGCAACTTTAATAGATCTACTGCTAGCTAATGCGAAGTGAATGCGTGTAGTTGCCAAGAAAAGAAGCGTCCATAACAGATATAAACAATGAACTCGGCGTAAATACATAAAAGGCGCAGAGCGCGAGCGCCCGAGATGGCGGCCGCAGCTCCGCACGTACAGAAACGGGGGGAAGCCGAGGCTGGCGGCGGCATTCATAAGGCAAAGCGGGTAAGTAAGGAAGCAGGCATACAAACCGTGCCTATAATCCGCCTTTCGGAAACCTCAGAGTAGCCTGAAACCGACTATTTCACGGCAGGATACGCGAGCCACTCCAAGTTGCGTAGACACACAGCTACGTCGCCGTATTGAGTAACACAGGACGCAAACTGAACGAAACCATTTGAAATCAAACAATTTAGGCTACCTGATCGGTTACTATATATATATAAACGACTTAGAGAAAATGTATTCCACGGGAAATCTAATTTTGTTGCTCACGTTAACAAAACGAATAAACGACAACGAATCGAATACCGTTATAACAGATGGTTTTGGTTTCAGGAAAACTTAACTGTCTGTCATTTTAACAGTACGAAAGTATTAATTAAGGAAGTACAATCAAAACATGTTACATAAAACACAGAACCGGAAATTCAGTTTAAAGGGAACGCCGTCGGCCTCCAGCGACCCCTGCAGGTAGCGCCGTGGAAGTGCAGCAGTGTGTCGGCGAGCAGTCCGACGAGGCGTTGCATAAAGGTTTTGTCGTCTCCGCTGTGAAGCATGGGTCATACATGAGATCAAATATAGTCAAATATAGAAATATAGATATGAAACGTATTAAGACACAAGACAGAAAATCTTGACATGGACATAGATACAAGACAAAATATAAACACTCGTTTAGCTGGGAAGAGTGTACAACTGCAAACTAGGTTTCTAAGAATAAACAAGCTTGTATTAAATCCATTCATTGTCTCCACCGTGTTTTATTATGAGGACAAATTAATGAACTCACCAGCAAGTGTAATGATTTTCCCCCCTTATTAATAACAGAATGGCGATCCTACAGCTGGTTAAAAGCCATACAATGGATAACATTTATTGTAAAGTGCGGTGAACGAGAAGGTAAATTGAGACTAAGCTATAAAAGATTATTTTTCCTTAAGTACTATACTGTAATGCTTAAAATATGTCAACGTGCTGGAGATAAAAAGCGGCTGTGACAATAACGTAATATCTATATAAACCTCTTAGATGTGTCAGTGGCTTTTATTCTTTTTATAAAATAGACAAAAAAGCACAAGCATTTCCACTCCGCTACGCCAAACCACAGAGATTATTAACGGAAAAGATACACAGTGACTTTGGGGTGCTGGTCATAGAGGACTTTATATGGCCACTCAGCAGAACTGCACTGAGAAGTCTTAGGACAGGCATAAAGTGCAGCGCCAGTTTCCTGAATAATCTCAGCTGTGGACTTAAACAAAACACGCCTCACAGCTTGCGTAAATATCCGCCTCAAGAGGAGGGGAAAAAACAAAGAAATACTTGTTTTTCGAAATGCTATCGATAGTCAGGAAGCTGTGTTAAGGGTCATGTAATCTTCGGGCCGGGTGAACAAAACAGGCCTTTGTGTGGGAGCTGGAGCCTGGCGCTGGCGCGGGGGGGGGGCGCAGAGCCGCCCAGGTGTTACGGATTACCACCTGTCGGGGTAGGAGCTCAGGCGTGCCGCGCCCGCAAACCTAACAAAAGCCGTGGATCTAATGGGGGGCGACAAGTACATAAAACCTGTATTATAGGTATTTGAGATTGGCAACCATGAATTTGTTATATTTTTACGTGGTGACGGAGGGATGAAAATTAAGGTTGGGCGCCTAAAAGAGAGGCGCAGATCCACTTAAAGATAAGGACGTTATCAACAAATCAGCGGTACATACTTTATGGAAAAGGTTTTAAAAAGACTGACTCGGAAGAATACCTGCTATTGTCCGCTCTTCATACAATTCTGAAGTGTATAGTGGTACATTAAAGTGTGAAATGTCATGCGACAGACACAACTGATGCTTTAATACTTACAAGTAGCAATAAAAACTTGGTTTCCACTCGCAGATAATGAAACTGCATACAATGTTTAAAACAGCAGTAGTTTTAAGCATCTGTTTTAAAACGAAGTATAGCCTTTTAAAATGAGAAGAGCGTATGGATCTTAATGTATCAGAAATGCACTGTAAAGATTTGAATTGAGGGGTTCGTTGTGCATGTAGTATTTCAATGTAAGGACTGTAGAAAACATACTACAGATTAAACAAAGGTAGCACATTCGTACAGAAAATGATACAGAATGACTACTAGTATTGAGCAAAAAATATTGATTTATTAACACACAACACTTATTAAAAATTCAAATAGAAGATAAAAATAGGTTTACTTGAAAACAGTGCTTCTCAGTCAAAGAAAAAAATGAATAAGGGGAAAAAGGATGAAGGGTAATTCTCACACAAATGTAGATGAGTGCATAAAGCAAAGAAATGTCATTCTTAAAGTATATTTAATTTTATTATAATCTGGACTGATGAAGAGGTGATATTAACTCACGGGGGAGTCAGTGCACATGAAGGCAAGTGTGAAAGAAAAACCTGTTTTAGTAAAGATTTACCCAACTGCAGATGAAGGTCAAATGCAAGAAGAAGAGAAGCAAAATAAACACAGAAAAAAACATTTCAATCCAGAAGCATGAGGTGCAGCAGAAGTTTTTCCAAGCTGTCTGTTGGTAAACTTTTCACAAGCACGCCAGAACATTTTCGCAGAGGTAGAATTTGGTTCTTGCAGATACTTATGGCTACGTTTCGGCTGGGCACTGGTAGCTGTCCACCGACAAACCTCTTTTTTCAAGCAAATGACATTGAATCCCATAACATGACATGAAGGAAATTTAACAGCAACAAGTCAGATTAAATAAAACACTCCAAAGGCGTGGAGGGAAGTTTATATACTTAGGAACTGCTCGATTGTTCAAAAGAAGCAAAAACAAGCAAAATTTGCAGGAGGAATTAACTATTTAATTTTGCAAAGAATGGGGTCTATAACCCAGAAAAGTAACTAAGTAACTATGTGCTGCCCTCTCACTCAAGCTTGCTTCCTCCTTAAAACAGACAGGCAGCTGATGCAATCCTGCAAAATGCAATCCTCCGTTCCTTTGCCAGGCGCTACCTTAAATACTGGCTTTCCCCCAGGAACACAGGGCCTTGCTCATCAAAAAGTGCCTTGGGACATTAACCCCCCCCCCCCCATCTTGATTACTTGTGCATGAATCACACAGGGTTTAAAACATTGTATCTAGCATATTTTATATTATATATATTTTGGTCTAGCAACATTGATCAGGATTTTTTACCACACGCAGTAAAATCACAGTTAACCACATTCCTCTATATTCTGCTCCATATTCAGCTTTTCCCCCCCAAATACCTCAATATTTATGACTATAACCAGTAATTATAGAATGTTTTTGGGGACAGTGGGTTATTTAATTCCATCTTAATACAATTGACAATACGAAGACCCTCATTTGACAGGAACACACAGAGGTAAAACTAGTAAATTATTATTTTTCTGGGGGACAGTTCCGCTGATGTCCACACGGTGGAGACGCAGCACAATCAGAGGCCCTTGACTGGACTGGAAATGCCCTGTATGTTCTGCTGCGATTGTCCTCTGAGAGGGATTGAGGATAATTCTTTAAATCAGGTACAAGGCACAAACCTCAGAGAACAAAATGGCACTTTAAGATGGCATCTGTCAGTAATGAATCATAGTTCACTGTCTCATTTCTTCACCGCTTCCTATGATTTAATACTGTTCATACTGAATCAGCCAGCCTCTCTGTAGATAACACTTTTACTCAAACAGATACTGTGGAGAGGATATGCCAGCAGACTGGAATCAAACCCCAAAACTACCAACGTGGAAGAAGGAAACTCCCCACCATGCAGGCCAAAAATAAGCACATAAAGAAACTGAAAACGCAGATGTGATTATAACAAAGAAAAACACATGATGCTGTAATAAAGCATTAAAAAGAACAAGTGTACTTTGTTTTTACACACACGCACGTGCGCACACGCACACACAACCCTCCATGAGTCCAATATGCACACTATGAAAACACACCTCAAAAAGATTTCCCAAAAAAATTAAAAATGTAGAATCATTAGGGCATTTTCCCAACTTGTGCGCAAAGGTAAATACGGTAAATGTTCTCCATTTGAGGCAGAGCGAAGGAGCGTGGAGTACCGTCTCTTTGGCCAGAGTGTTTCAAACAGCACGATGTCTCCTGAGGGATAATTATCCATCATTCGGCTTGAACTCGTGGACCCACATGTGAAGTTTGGCAAAACGCTGTGACACCCCGACCGTGGGCGGGTCTTAGATCTCACATCGTTGTGGGAAAATGGGGGGGGGAGGGGCGGCTTATATAGGTGAAATCCTACTCTAAACATCTGCAACCAATTGCACAGAAACCCAAGAGACACTCACTCGCATACAGAGACATGTTTGATTAATGGAATCAAGACTAATTCTTCAGATGCTGATAAGTCTACAACAGCAAACGATGTATAACCCTTGTCAGCGTTCCTGGAAGCGATTCCAGCCGGTCCGAGTCAATTAGGTGAACAACCGACAATGACATCATGGTTAAAAGAGAAGCGGAACGTCTAACATGCATAAGCCATGATACTCGGCTTCTACCTACGATTCTTACCCTTTAATGAAGTGACGAGGCCTTCTGGGTTTGCAGATTAACGCAGTGAGAGTTTCGCCTCTCTCTCTCATACAGGAGAACTTCCACTCTGAGTCATGCGCATCGTCTACCTGACAAGTCCTCTTTGGAGCTTCACCTGAGTTACTGCAAGTGGGTGGGGGGTGGGGTGGGGGGCACAACATTATTAATAAAGCCTAACATTAATACAGTCCCGAAATGGAGCGACTCGGTGGAGAACTGCTGATACTGTGTAGCTTAAAGGGATGTGAGAAGCCTGCTGTTCATGAAGGATCTTCAGAGCCAGAAATTTAAAGATTTTTTTTTGTTTTCTTTCCCCTTGTTTAAATTCCCACCCTACGAAAGTTCAGGGGTAAAAAAACAGGAATTTGCCGTCTGAAAAAGTGACAGGATAAGGAGGGCGGGAGGGAAGGTCCGGTGCAGTGCGGTGTGGTCCGGCTAGGGACTCAGGTTCACCCAGAGCCAGCCCATGAACGTGCCATACAGCCAGGTCTTCACATACAGCTTCCTGCCCACCTCAGTCAGCAGCATGGGCAGCGTGAGGCCTGCTAACAACAGCAGCGAGGGCAGAGTCTGCATCACGCTCAGGGCTGACCTCCGCCCCTGGCCGGGAAACAGGCGCTGCGTGGACAGCTCTCCCGGAGCGTAAAACGCAGCCAGCAACCTGCAGAGGAAGGAGGGGAGGCCTGAGCACGGCGAGAG